TCTCCAGCCTGTCTAGGTCTCGCTGAATCATGCCGTTGAATATTCTTGCTAGTGCATAAATTCAATGCAATGCAATAAGTCGTTAAATATATTTTATTCTTGACTGCGAGTAATTTTTTGGTTGTTTTTCAAAAAGAGGAGCGCAAATCAGCTCCTAAAGAAATGATGCAGTGGGCGAAGAGCTGACACCCAAAAGACTGAAAAGAGGTTTTGAGGAGATCAAGCCTGTACCACAGCAACGTCAAGGAAGAGCTGGGAGGCAGAGGGAAGTACGAGCTGTTAAAATGCTTCATAGGATTTAAAAATATTGAATCAAATTTCTTTTATAGATATGTGGGAGATGGGAGAATATACAACAATAAAGGCAACAATAAAAGCTTAAAAAAAGCCCCAAAAAACCCTACAGCCCACCTCGATCAAGGACATGTTTTACTGACCAGAATTTTTGGGGTGTTTAAAGCAAAAATGTTTAATTTAAGCTTCCACTTGACTGATACAGTGTCAGATATTGATTAACCACGTGTATCTTTATGTAGAAATTCCAGCATTTCTGTTACATCATCATATCTGTACATGCCTTCAAATGCAAAAAAAACCAAACCCACAAAACCAAAACACAAACCCAAACCCCTGTAATTTCAAACCATTACCTGATTGTACGTAACGATGAAGTCCCTTACACTGATGGCATCTAACAGGCTGTCATTCTTTATTTCTACCGTGATCTCTCCGTGAGTTACAGAGCCCTCTGATGGCCAGTACTGACAGCATTTTTCCTGCAAAATTGAGAGAGAACGGTAAACGTCCCATGAAATTTTTTCCAGTTATCTGCATTGTCATGAATCTCTGATACAGGAGGTGAGATTCAGCACGTTAAAAGTATTCTAGACACTTCGTAATGAAAAGGCTAATTACCAAGAATACACTCATTAAATATTTTTATAATATAAACCTTAAGATGAAAAGCGCTTCGGAGTCGCAGATGGCAAATATTTCTTTAAAATAGATTAGAATAAAATAAGTAACTCCTGAAAGCAATGCGTTTTCATTAAAGAGCCTCCAAAAACCAACAACAACAAAAAAACCCATTTCACAGCACTAAACCACCCTGGTTGCAGCCTCGAACCCTGAATCGTCAAACTGCAGCACTCAGCAAGACACAGGACTCTCTTCGTTAATTAATGATGGACTAGGAAAGGTTCAGAACAAGCCACTGGAGTTTATAGGGGCAGAACAGGGAGGGAAGTTTTCACAAAAGCTTTGTCCAGCTGTTCCCAATTCCCAAACCGCTGTTCCATGTCAGGAAATTCACAAATTCTGTGCTTTGAATGGGAACTGGACTCTTTGCAAACCATAATTTTCCATAGTTTTGGTGGGTTTGCTGACAATTCGAGCAAAAGCAGCAACATCAGCCTTGCATCAAATCGCGAAGCAAGCGCTCCTTTTAGGAAAAGCAAAAAAAAAAAACCAAATAAACTTATATAGCTAGAATTTGGAGGTAACAAATAATTGATCTAATATTAACGCTCATATTTTACAGGTGTCAACAGCAACTGCTTTGCTCTGGGCTGGTGGCTCCGGGACACGTACCTGCTCCCTCTCTTGAACCTCGGTGAGCATCACGATGGTGTGGCACTTCCACTCCCACACCATGCGCCAGAAATCCTCCACCGTGTGCGGGAGAGGTCCCTGGGTGGCGATGAAGTAATCCTTCTGGCGATAGCCCTGCGGAGAAAACCCAGGGGAGCGTTTAGGTCCTTTCCTCCGAAGAGGACGTATTTACACCCGTTAACCTGAACGCAGATAAGGGATGCTAGTTCTACAGCTAATTTGCTTCACCGCCTGTTTTTTCAAATTTAATAAAAACCTCAGTTTATAAATCTACCAGCAAGAACGGTGTAATTACACCACCATTTAAACTGAAATTGAAAACACCAGATAAAAAAAATCTATTTGGAAACTCTCATAAGCAGAAACCAAATTTCAAAGCTCATGTTCTTCATAAGCCGAGTCGATTGTGTCTCTTTAAAAAAGACTCATCAGCAACAGCAAAACGTTCGACTCGCAATTTAAATAGTTGAAATTTTTTTATACATACGTCTATGAAGGAAGCATTGATGTAGTCTGTATACTCCTGCCCTCTTTTCATCGACAGAATCACTCTATTAAAATCATCTGAAAAAAAAAGAAAGTGTCTGTTCTGACTTTTGCTAATAGAAAGGTCTTCATAGCGTTTTATCAAATTAATTTGATTTTTTTCTTTCCACCCTTTATGTCAGCAGAGGCATTGATGGCTCCGTTAATATATTTGTAAAAGAACAAACCCAGCCAAATCTTTTTTCTGAAAGACAAGCGTCTCAAGAATCTCATCCAGGATTTAGGAAGTATGTGGAGGAGGGCACTAGTTTTCCTGCTGGGTTTTTTTTTCCCCATTCACACAGGATCTGGCCAACAAGCTCCAAAATATTCATTTTGCAGTGCAGACTGCAAAAGCGTTTGAATTTTATAGGCAGAGAAGTTAAAACTTTTTCTCTTTAAGACATATGCAGGAATTATTTGTAAAATTCCAAATCCGGGCAGGACCTCTGTTCCCGAGTTATCCCAACAGAGTGAGTTCTGATACGAGGTGGGTCGTTCTCAACGTATAGAGTACGTATATGACAACCGCAGGGTAATCGGGTATTTACAGAACTTATTTCTCTCTATAACAAGCTGATCTCTTACATGGGATGATCTGGATGACTCTAGCTTTCTTCATATTTGCTGGAAGGTTGCCAGTTCTCATGTTTTCTTTCATTATTCGAACATTGGTTAACTTCTGTAAGAAAACACACAAACGAGGATGAGAATTCATTGGAACAGGAGCGGTTCTCCTGCACTCAGAGGGTTCCAAAGCACCTTTATCAGGTACAAAACAGGAGCACAGTCAACGCAAGACTGACTTTTCACAAAAGCCACTTAATTACCTTTTATCGACAGGACAATGAAGAATAACAGTCATGTAATTTTTTTCATATTGATAAATATTTAAGAATCTGAACACACAACCAGACCATATCAAAAAAAGTTTAAGGGAAATAAAATGAAGCAGATTTTAACCTTCTGTGTTTTTTTGGTTTGTGGGGTCTCTTTCCTGTTTTTTTCTTTTTTTTTTTTTAAGACAGTTTGGACTGAGGTGGCTTTCAGAAGCCCTTTGAAAAGTCTAATTTTAATAAATGTGACATTGGAAAATTTAGTTTTAGAAAATTATCCATTTTAAAAACACTTCGTAATAAAAAGCTCTGCATGCCATTTTATCATTTTCTCTTTTTCCTTCACTTTAGCTCAGAGCGCTAAAACTCGTCTCCTTTAGTCCTTTCCTCATCGCCCTGCTCCTGCCATAACAAGCTGCGCAAGTTGATGGAGCGCTGTGCACCAAATCCCGCAGCTTGGCTCCGAACATTTTCAGCTTTTGCTAGTGAAGGAACCAACGTGCCTGTTATTTATCCAGAATGCCCTGACACAGAAGACAAACGCTGCTCTTGCCCCAACAATTTCTTTATAGTCTAGACTGCACACCCGCACGAGAAGCTGCTGCTTCCAGGGTGGGACCTGCCAGGTAATGATCACAGCAACTATTTAATATCAATTCAATTTAAATCAAAATTAATTTTCAAACTGCAAGCAGATTTTCAGGCATGAATCTGCCAGGTGCTGCATTTCAGGAGCGTACCTCAATGCCGATAACACCTCTAGCACTGGCAACAAACCATTAAAAAGAAACTTCTGCCCTCTGAGAAATCACTTTTTGGCTGCTCTGTGGTCAATAGACTTTATGTCAGAGGGTCTCGCTGCTCTCTGCGCTCCAACACAGCCTTGCTGACACAGCGGACAGCAAAAACAAACTGAGGAATTCTGGAAAAAGCAGAATACTTGATGTCTTCATTTGCTTCCTTCCCTCAGAAAAGTCAGTACTTTTGATTTTTGAACTGATTGCTATATTGTTAGTTATTCTTGCGTCATTTTCTTCTCCGAGTTCCCAATTTCTGATTAAATTAATCCTTTGAAGTGAAAGAGAGAACTCCAGTTAACACCTATATGTCATTTAATGCTTTAGACCTATCTATAGAACAAATATTTTAGCATAGCAAAAGTCACAGAAAAGTTCTAACAGGACAATAAAGTCTATTTTAAGCAATGATCACAAACAGCCAGCGTGGTGGCTTTCTGCATTTGGGGTTTCTCCACTAAACAAAAATGCCTTTTTTTTTTTTTTCTTTTTTTTTGCTTTTCTTTTCTGTCAGGTCTGGATATTCAGCACAAGATGTGTAAATTCTCTCTGCCACCAGTCATCACTGAGTTAACAATCCCGTCGAGATGCAAATGAGGTGTGCGTAATCCAGCTCCCTCCTCCAGCGTTATCTGATCTGGCACCTAGGACCAGACCCAAAGAATAATTCCATTTTTCTTTTATAAACAAGCAGAAAGCACATAGGAAAAGGTCCGTAAAGCGACGTAGCTTTGAATGAGCGTTTGCAGGACAGGATGTTAGGCAAAGCCCCATTCACCAGCTCCGCAGGACCCATTCACAGCAAACAAAAAATCAAATCAGTTGTTCCATATCGATGGACCTTTTGAGGTTCCACTTTTCCTGCTTTTGAAGTATCTTTTTGGCTTCAGTGTTTCCACGCTTAGAAATCCCCTGGCAAAGGAATTTCACACTTACTTTAAATTCTTCTTCTAGCCCTATTTTGACAAGGTTTGGCGCAGCGCTGTGCGATGTCTGGAGATGTTTTTCTAAGGATGACACATCCAGCTCCGTGTCACCGTAGAGGTAGTATTCAAGTAAGGCTTGATAAATGAACGAGTATTGCATCTGGAATGAACAGAGAGGCAGGTAAGCATGCTGCAGGGCGGGGAAGTGAAACCATGGATTCTGGCACTGGGATCTTTCTCATTTGGTTTAGAATCTATTAATTATCTAAATATACCTTAAGCAAAACCAGAGTTTTCCTGTTATATCACTCACATTCTCTAAAATTCCACTCTCACGTGCATGGGGAAACCTGGACGTGATACCTAAAGATAATGTGCCTTACAGTGGTCTTCCCAGCCCCAACACGTCTCTATCTTGGAAAGAGTTGTGGATGGATACAATTGGATGTAGTTGTGGATGTCCCATCCCTGGAGGGGTTCAAGGCCAGGCTGGATGAGGCTTTGGGCAACCTGGGCTAGTGGGAGGTGTCCCTGCCCATGGCAGGGGGTGGCACTGGATGATCTTTAAGGCCCTTTCCAACCCAAACCATCCTGTGATTCTATGACCATCTTCCCCAACCCCATCCATCCTTTGTTCATTTTCCAGTTATCCAGGTGTGCAACAGAACAGGACATACTGGGTTGTGTATCAGGGTGGAAATACAGATACATATTCTTCTTTGACCGCAAAAAGGTGTAATTTCAACCCATCAAAGCCCACTTACGTCAGTCTGAACCATCTGCGGCCGCTGATTACGGATTCTGGAAACAAACTCAAAAACATCCACCTTCTGCTCAGCGTGCATCATGTCTATCATGGCATCGATAACGATGAACGTGCCTGTGCGACCCACACCAGCGCTGGAAAAGGAAACAAAACCAAAAGCTCGACTGAATTACCAAGCCTGTAGGAACTGCTACAGCAATGACACAAGTAGAACTTACGCTGTTGATACTGGACTGCAATACTCACCGTGAAAAACTAAATTCCATTTTGTATTTTAGCAATGATAGCAAAAAAAAAAAAGGGGGTCCAAGTTTTTAACATAAAAAGTCACCCTTTAACAGCTTGGAAATTATAAGATCAAAATTATTTTAGAAAAGACCTTTGGAAAAAAATTCTGCTTGTCCAGGTGTAATAATTCAGTCTAAGATGACTTTTTTTTACTTAATTTTTGCTCTTTTCTGCATGGTTGCTGTCTCATGCCAATTAGATAATAGTCACTTGTTAAAAGCTCTACACTTCTACCATCCCAAATTATTATTTTTTTTTTATATCCTTCAGCAGCCAGGAGAGGGAGCGCGCTCCTCAGAAGTAACACTCCTCGGGCCACTTTCAGCTCTTCCTTGCAGAGGAAAAGGGCATGGCATCCTGTGCTAGGCACTCATAGCTCTCCTTTCACCTCCTCTTAGCTTACTTTGTGCAGCAACTGCTGCAGTGTCTCAGTTTACACAGATTTTCCTCTTCCTACCGTGTCCTGGAGCGTGGGTCGCTCATGGATCGTTCATCGCTCGCTCCGTGAGCTTTTACCCGCCGAGGCCCACGCTCAGCCTCCTCCCTTCTCTTTTTACAGCTCCCTTTTCACACATCCTTGTTCCCTCCCCATCCTCCTGCCCCATGGTTGCCTTACTACAGATCAGCGCTCAATCCAATCCAATTCCTGCTAAAACTGGTAATTTCACCAACGCTGACGTTTGCCTGGAAGTTCCCTGGTTTTATCCAGCCTTCACCTACCCTAGGGCATCCCTTACTCAGCTCTTCCTCAACGTAGTGCTCTCCTCGCTGAAAAAAACCCTATTTCTGAAAACTTCTCGGGGAAAAAAAAAAAAAAAAATGGCAAAAAATCCTTCCTCCCTTTTATCTGCAATTCTTCACTTCCAAATGCTAAATTTTATCGACTTCCAAAAGATTCCGACTGAGCAGTTTTTGCTCGGGATGAGTGGCTGATATTTTTACAAGAGCTCACTAAAAACGGACGGTTACTCACTATCGATGAGTTTCCCTTTCCTTTTCTCAACAATTCAACAGTGTCATATCCTGAACCGTAACGGAAATGAAGTGTCACCTCTCTCGTTCTTTCTTTCTAACGCAGGCTGAAGAACGGCACTGGCCCCCGGCACTGACATAATGCCGTTACTGTGCTGCGTTGGGCCATTATATTTAAATCCCAGCGGATTTTTATTAAGGTATTTTCTAGTTACCTTTGTTTTGCCTCTACTCCTGATGATTAAACTAAGCACAGAATTTCCTGCTGGTGCAAAATCAATCTCAAACCCACTATGAGCCTCCACAGAACATCATGGCAAAAGGCTAGAAAAATACGGTGGGCTTCTCAAAGGAAAGAATATGTGAGACAATGAAAATAATCTTTTTTCTCTTTAAGGCGTTTCTTTAAGACTGGACACCTGGGAGAGAAGATGACTCCTACAGCAAGGCAAGATCCAGATGGAAATGAAGAAACAAAAAGGCTGTGGCTTGGCTTTTAACAGCCCACACTTCACAGGCTCCTGGAGAGTATTTCCAGTTGTCCAACACAGGCAAGAGAAAAAGAAATAAATACATGAAGCTACAACCATTTCCTTAAAAAAAAAAAAACCCCACAAAGACAAAGCTGCTATTTCTTCTCTTTCCATTCTAACCTCATTATGGTAATTGCTCCTGAAAAGAGATTTCTTGCTCAGTTCTGAGCTTACAGTTGCTATAGAGATTGCAATTATTCTTTTAAAGCTGATTTGGGGTTTGTTTGTGGTTTCATTAACATAAGATTTCAAACAGTTTCGCAGGAGCCTTTAAATAGCAGGAAGTTCCTGTGTGTGCGACCGAAGGAGTGGGAACAGGTCCTGTACTGGTATGTGGGGCACTCTGAACACGGCAGCGCTGGAGTCTCCTAAATGCAAGCCTTTGTTCCCAACTTTCGAGGCGTTTAAGAGATAATTCACAGCTGGAGTCTCCTAAATGCAAGCCTTTGTTTCCAACTTTCCAGGCGTTTAAGAGATAATTCACGTAGCAAACCGCAAATTATATGGTGGGAGAAGTGGGGGATGAATTCTCAGAGGAGCGTTTAGCGGCAAAGGTCGCAGATTAGTATTACAAGCCTGTTTTGCTGACAAAGAGGATATTTATACAAAACATTGGGTATCGCTCATGGATGAAAAAAAAACCCAAAACAACAACTTCTGTTTGAGTATTAAAGCGACAAGAAAGACAGATCTTTTGAAATGGTTTTGACCTTGGGCTCTCAAAAAGCTCAGCATATTCTCGCCCTTTACATATATAAACATAAATATATAAATATATATCTCCATACATACCCACACAAACTTCAGAGCCTACGAACAGAAGGTGAAAATTCAGCCTTGATATTCTGCACGTAGCTCCAGGCCAAGCTACAGAAGGGCTTGAAGAGCAGATACATACCTACAGTGAACCACGATTGGTCCAGCATGGGCGGGATTCAACGTTTTGACTTTTTTCAGGAATTTCAGCATCCCGATAGGTGTGAAAGGCACCCCGAAATCAGGCCAGCTGGTGAAGTGAAGCTGCGTAACGAGCCTCGGAGCTTTGCAACCGTCATGAAGCTGCGGGGAACACACGGACTCTGAGTCTAACATTTTGTTTTTCACGCAAAGATTTATAAACAAACTGCCCTGGTTATTTACAACTTTAATTCCTGCGACACTTAGAGCCTGAATCAAGGACTAGAGGTTTACAGCGCACAGAAAATACAATCACAGAGTAAAATTACCATAAATTACTAAAATGAATCTCTGCAGTGAAAACTGGAACAACCCTAGGATAGGATTGCAAAGAGTAAGACTCACAATTTATGTTAATAACGGATCAAATCCTAAGTCCTTTTTCACTTATAAAATCTTCACACTTTTTTTAGCAGCCTCAGATGAAACTCACAAAGTTCAGCCTCAACATTCCGGATCTGCATCACTATGAGATGCCCAACACCAGCTTTGGCCATATCCCACCTGCCTAATGGAAGAAGAGCTGCACCTCCAATGGCCAACCACTGCCAGGGTCACCATCTGACCCACTCTTCAAGAATAAAAGAAAAGATACTACAGAAGCAACCAGGTGAACATCGTTTCACTGGCATACTCTAATCACAACCTCTCCTCAAGGTCAGAAAGCCTCCGTCTCGTCTGTTAGCCAGGGTCAAGGGAATTTTTGAGGGGTTCCGAGGTCTCCGTGTTGTTCTACACAGCGATCCGGGGTTTATCACCTCCCACCAGCCCAGATTGTCTTGAGTCTTCCATTTGAATCAGACGGTCCAGCCCTCCCTTTAGAGGGTGAGGATCTCTAACAATTTGCTCCTGCACAAGGCTACGCACTGTGGACAAGAGCAAAGTCACCCCCACCATCTCTCCTGTGATCTAAAGCTTTAACTTGTGCCAGAGACCAAGGATACAACCAAAATCAAGCTGTAATGCTGGCTGATGTTGGCCAATCAATGTCTCCAAATTATTCCCAATGTCCAAATCACAGACTGGTTTGGGTTGGAAGGGACCTTAAAGCCCGTCCAGTGCCACCCCCTGCCATGGGCAGGGACACCTCCCACTAGCCCAGGTTGCCCAAAGCCTCATCCAGCCTGGCCTTGAACCCCTCCAGGGATGGGGCATCCACAGCTTCTCTGTGCAACCTGGGCCACTGCCTCACCCCCTGCACAGGGAAAACTTCCTCCTAATATCTCCTCTAATATTCAAATCCACTCATATATTTACCTATGCAATTGGTCTTCAGAAAGGTCAAGACACTGCTCCTGTGCCCCCTCCCTGACAGTCACAAGGAAAGACTTTCTGTGGCCCTTGGCCACAAGCAAGAATAAAACCGAGCAGAACGTATTGCAATCCATTAAACTCCGGCGGATGTCTTGTGTGCCGTCCTGCAGAGCTTGCTCGCCTGCCTAGGAGAGGTCCCACACCCTTTTTGATTTGCAAATACATTTAATTAATTCCCTGAGTTCCTTTTAAGCAAATACTTGCCATTGGAACAATTTCCTTCAAATAATCAAACTGAAGATGCAGCAAGAACATTTTATTGCAACTTACCGACTGGACGCAGAACTTGCGGATGGTGTAATCCACCAGAACTATGCAATCTTCCACCGACACGCGGATACTCCCGTAAGTCCAGCACCCTTGGTCAGGCCAATACTGATAACATTTTTCCTGTACAAAAAAAATGTCAGTTTATAACACTGAGTTTTACAACACTGAGTCTGTTCTTTGTCGGTCATTCATAAAACAATTAAGTTCTTTGAAAATAGAGGCCAACTACTGCTGTGTGTCCCCATCATCTCCCCATTGCCAGGAGATGTCATCCCAAGGGGGCAAGAAAAGCCCAGCTCTCCGGCACTGAGTGCCTTCTGCCTCCTCCCTCAACCATCGGGGAAACAAGGTGATTTTTTTTCTCAGGCATATGTTTTTGAGGATTTTATATATATTTCAAATAAGGCCGTAGCATGCTCAGAGAGGCAAACAGTCCCCCAGGGAAAAAGAAAACAACTAAAAAGCATCTTTTGTGTTTCTGATGGTACATTTCCTTCATGTTCTAACTTAGCTTCTCAAGTCTGCCAAGTTTTTGAAACGAAAGGTTTCACTCTTGCCGTGCGCATCTCAGTGTTCAGCCAACACACAAAGTCTCGCACAACGGGAGGAGGGAGATTTGGGAACAGCATCACTCTCACAAGAAAGAAGTATTGGTTTTTAATTGTTGTGTGGATGCACCAGAAAGAATTTTGCCACCTAGCTCTCGGGAAAATGAATCAAGTTTTTTATTTTCATTTCTACCCAAACCCACCCACCAGTGCAGCCCTACGCTGCGATAAAAACACACAATTTGCCTTTGGCTACGGGCTACATGGACAAGGTTTGCCATCAGAATCTTCTCCTTGAGATCTATGTATATCAATTTGTATTTTGGAAATTAAAACGACATTTCTGAGCAGACACTCAGCTGTGCTAAGGGGGGCTGGAGAAGGCAATGGTCCGAAAGGCGACTTGGCCATGGCTGCTTGTGGAGCACGCTCTGGTCGAGACATCCCTGAGCAAACTGAAAGCTCTTTACCTCTTTTCTTTCTTTCAGGTTGGTTAACATGACGATAATGGCTGACTTCTGCTCCCAGATCATCCTCCAGAAATCGTTCACTGTCTCTTGCTTCGGTCCTGCAGAGAGAACACAGCTCTGCTCAAGAGGGGTGATGGAGACCAGGACAGCGAACGCTCCCCGTCCCTGCATGCTGGGTGACCCCAGATCTCAGTTTTACTACAAACTGCTCGGGTTTTGAATATACCACATATTTGTTAAAAAAAAAAAATCATATTTTTTTTACAGAACCATATGCACTCAAATCTACATTTCTAGCAGACACCTCCTGTCTTGAAATATTATTAATGCTTTTTTAAAGGGGTTATAGCAGAAGCATCATTTAGGATTTCTGTTTTGCAGCTCTTCCCCCATGCCAAGGTCCAACATGAGCTGTGACCACAACGAACAAGGTCCGAGAGCTGCTCATCGCGCTGTGCGGGACGGGAGGACTGCCGACGGCCAGCGACAACCACGGCTTTGTGTCTGGGATTGTGCTGAAAAAGTTCCCAAAATATGCCACTAAACACAGTGAAAAATGCTAATTTCTGGGGCAGGAACGCTTAGACAGAATGAATTACACGAGACATCATTTTTCAAACCACCAGTAAGTAGAAAAAGAAAAAAAAAAAGAAGTGGAGGTGGAAGGGGGATGGTGAGTCTCTGCGCTGAGAGCAGCATCCGCCCGTCTAAAGGCAGTGGGTTACCTCACGCTCACTTGAATTTCATTTCAACTGTAACCTCTACATCCCTCCTCACATTTGGCCACCATCTGCAGCTGAAAATAACCTTGAACGCACTTCTAAAACTAAATACGTTCAGCCAGAAGAGGAACAGAACAGAGAAATGAGAAGAAGTTACCTTGTGCTGCTATAAATTTATTCTTTTCTTTATAACCCTGTGGAAATAAACAGCACGGCAGTTAAAAGATGCAATGCCAACGTATGCTAGCAGAAAAAATATTTAATCCACAGTCAAAGTTTGCAGTTTGTCAACTTACATCTATATATGATGCATTAATGTAGTCTGAAGGTGGGACTCCATCGATCTGGGTCAAAATCACTCTGGAATGATCATCTGGAGGAAAACACATTACAAGCACGTTTGCACGTTAATCAATCCGAAATATGTTCTCGCCTTGCAAGCAGGAGGCCAGGCTAAGCACCCGCTTCCCTAACCAGCTGTCTCCCCTATTGCTCCTAGTTGTCATCAAGAAACGTTCTCCACCAACATCTTGCTTTGCTCCCACACCTGGAGGTCACCGGCACTGCAGCTCCGCAATACTGGAAGCCCAAACTTCATTTGATTGCCCCAAATTAAATAGAGCCACTAAAATATCCATTTGACGTGGTGTAATTGGGTAGAAACCCAGGAGAGCCAAGGTTTTATAGTGCAGCACCTGATAACTGGGGAGAAACCCAACAGAAGGTCGACACTAGAGCCATGCCACAGCAAACCAGGTTTGGCACAAACAACTTATGAAGAACATTTATAACCAGTGAAATTGTATTACTTGAGTATTTGATTAAAAAAAAAAAAAAAGTCATGTCTTACATGGCAGGATGTTGGGATATCGGTTTTTCTCCCTGTTTTCTTCCTTATTTGCCATTTCAAATGTTCCCTGCACAAATCCAGGTGTTAATGACTAAAGGAAAAAAAAATATACAGAAGTCAATGTGTTAGAAAACAGCTAACTCTCGACTGAACGTGGTTTAAGGGAAAATCTGCATTTATGCATATTGCCTTGCACCCAACAGAATTAAGCTTTTTTTTTTTTCTTCCCCCCTACAATAAGTTTCATTACTCTAAAACAGGAAACCACGTCCTGGCAGATTTCACTACAGAAAACAAGTTCAGCAGTTTTGAAATAAAAAAAGTCATTTTTCCAGCAGAGATGAGAGTTATTTAGAAAAATTGTTCAACTCTGAGCTGCTGCTTCGAGCTGCCATCTGCCGCGGTGATTCACGGCGCCGCGACCCAGCGCGCGGATGCGCCGCTCCCTCCAGCTCGGCTCCGGCAGCTACTTTTAGCAATAACAGTTGGTTCAATAAAATAAACAGAGTTTGACTGTTAACAGCTCATTGTTAAAAACATTAACTATCAAACATCTTGCTGAGATCCACAGGTGAGGGCCCAACGCTGGCAGGAAGGGAGGAAGAAAAAAAAAAAAAATAATCCCAATTCTTTTATGCTGAAAGTCGCTGTACGAGCAGAAGTCAAATTCGGCTGGCAATCAGCAAGATCTAAGACTGCAGATAAATTTAGTCAAGCTTAAAAAAACCCAAACAAAACAACAACCAGCCTAGCAGAGCAACCAAATGAAAGGAAGAAACGGAGAGGAAGAAGGTGAAGATTAGAGGGGAGATGGAGATGAGATATTGGGAAGAAATGTTTTCCTGTGCGGGGGGTGAGGCAGTGGCCCAGGTTGCCCAGAGAAGCTGTGGATGCCCCATCCCTGGAGGGGTTCAAGGCCAGGCTGGATGAGGCTTTGGGCAACCTGGGCTGGTGGGAGGTGTCCCTGCCCATGGCAGGGGGTGGCACTGGATGGGCTTTAAGGTCCCTCCCCACCCAAACCATCCTGGGATTCTGTGAAGATGAAAAGAAGGAGGTGCCCAAGGTGGAGCTCCTCCACCGACATGGCAGAAGCTGCTGAGATACCACCACCGGGGCCAGGCGGTCGGATGGGGTCAGAAAAGGTTCATCAAGAAACACGGGCACGAGGCTGCTGCCCTGCGCCTTCAGCTGCCCGCTCACTGCCAACAGAAGAACCGCGTCCCATCAAGTTTCTTGTACTGAACTCCTCCAAACCAGTGTTAGCAGAAGGATCCCACCGAGATAAAATCCCAGCGGTTTGGGAACACACAACTGCCTCCTCCCACCCGTCCTCTCCCTCCCACTGCCCAGGCTGAATCACGGAGGGGAAGGGAAAAAATTATAAGTGAGTGTACAGCTTAAAGCAACCGTCCCCATCTGCCCGGCAGAGAGCAGGGCTTGGAATTTCCCCTTAGAAGCAGCAATCCGTGTTGTCAGGGTGACACAGGGTAAAATGAGGGGTGCAGGGAGGACGTCTCCTCCACCACAGAGGAAACAGCAACGTGCATTTGTGGGTTTGGCTTTTTTTTTTTTTTTAATCACTTAAACTAGTGAATGTAAGCAAAAGAAAGGGGAGAGAAGGTTTAAAAAAAAAGAGTTGAAAAAGAGAGCTGCTTTTAGCAAACTGCTTAACTCCTTATTGAATGAAGCCCATGTTTTTGCTCATTAAAATCCATTTACAATTTGGAAAAACACAGAAACTCTAATTTATGTTTTGTGTAAAAAATAAGCAATTAGCACTTTAAACATGATTTATTCCAACTTCAAAAGTTAGGCAACAAATTCCCAAGAAACAGTCACGTAAGTTCTGCATCCCCACATGAAAAATGCATGAAAAGTAATTCTCTCTGGCAAAATCATCTTTCCATTCCCAGCTCCTTACTCCCTAGAAACCTCCTCATGGCACATCCTAGAGCGGGTGTTGAATCCCGGTGCAAGGCCACAGCCCGTTTCACTGCTCCCACCCATCTGCAGAGGGGAGGATGTGATTCATGGAGGATGCGCTTCATCACGTCCTCTCCATCACCCCCAAATCACGAGGAGCCGGTGACTCTCAGTGGCGCTGGGTCATCTGCTGCCACCACAGTCCTATATGCAAATCCCAAAATCTCTCCGAAGGGGCTTAACCTACCCCAGCGTTGGTGAATTTTCTCCTTTTTTTTTTTTTCCACTGAGTGAGCCACATCTTAAGTTAAAATTCAAAGTTCCAAAGCAAATTCTTACAGGAAGGTTTTCAGACACTGATCTGAAAATCAAGGCGATAACCTCGCCATCACAAACTCCCAACACCAGCTCACCATGATAACTAGAGGTTATGGAAGGGACCATACAGAAAAGGATATGGGTTTGTTTTTTTTTTCTTTTCTTCCTGTGAAGAAAGAACACACTCTTCCTATTGCTCTGTGCTCACAAAGAAATAAAAAAAATAAAAAGTGAAGCAACTAGGGTAGAAGGAGCCTCTGCAATTTTGGTTAGTGTACAAGTGCAAGGTACTTCCTAAGGGTAATTCAGGCTCTAAGGATAAAACCAAAGGTACTGAAGAACACCATTAGGCACATAAATCTCAAAGACCTCACAAATCCTTTCTATCCTCTGCGTGTCTTCATTTATCAGCACTTGCTTTGCTCTCTTATTGCCAGAAAAACCACTTGGGACCTACCTTCTTTGGCTGGTCCAGTCCCTGGCTGGTGCTGGCCCACAGGACTCACCATTTCCACCCTAAACCCGTTTCAAATTCACAACGGAGACCCTGTGCTTGTGTTCCCCACCACGCCTGACCCCAGCAGCCAGAGCCCCCCCAGCGCATCCCCATCAGCCGAGCATCCCCAGCCCCGGCTGCATCAGCTCCCTCCCAATGGCTTGTGCGAAGGGGACAGCTTCAGACCCACCCCAAAACTGCAGGATTTGGCTCAAGGGACAGATAGAGGTGTAACCCGAGCTTTGAGGGAGGATGGAGCCAAGTTCAGGGCTTCTGCGTGCTGGGGGATGCTCTGATGGAGAAGTCGTTACGCTTCTGTGCTGAAGGGTCTTGATTTCTCAGCCCCTTTCCTCCCAGCGCTGCAAGAACAGACTGTTCTTTGTCAGCTTTCCTGGTTTATGCTACAGCATCAACCACTCTAACTTTCAACCATTTTTCACCCTTTCCTCCCCTCTCACACTTCAACAAACAGCTCATATATCCACACAAGCAGTCAGAGGAGATGCACCAAAAAAAAAAAACCCAAACCCAAACCACATAATGCATCCGGCAGACCTGCTGTACCGTCGCTCTCCGGCAGCGCTCAGGCTGCTCATTTCTGGGCACCGGACCCCAGTTTTCAGACTCAGCACTCGAGTGCAGACAGAGACTCATACGCTCACAGCATGGTGCAAAAAATGATCCAAGCAAAGCTGGTTTTGAAAAATAAATATAGATGGCTCGTTTTGCGACTAACTGCAGAGCAAATTCATCGGGAGAGTCAAAACTCACGAGCGCACATCCTGTTAAATTAGTTTTCACATTCATTTTGTCGACTTGGTAAATATCTCCACAATGTTCCCCCTCCGACAAGGCAAAGAAATTACGTGATTTAAATATATCATCAAACAAATTGCAGATATAAATACGCTACCAATTAAGAAGGTAGCTGAACAGCCTGTCTAATCAATGCCTGGATCGGCTTTGGCAACTCTGCATTTGACATTTCAGCTACTGCTCTGTGCAACTTGCTTCTGCTACGAAGGGAAGTGAAAAGAAATAATAAAAGTATGGAAAGAGCCCCCAAACGCAGGCGTGTGAGAGCAGACTCATCACACCAGGTTTCTCCATAGAAACCGGCTCGGCAGCAGCTCGCCACAGCCTCTGGTTAAGACTCATCTCTACGACCACACGCGATGGAAGCTCAGGTTATGGGCAGAAAAGAAAATCTCCTTTCTGACCAAGGCAATGCTTTAAATTTAAAAAAAAAAAAAAAAATAATCTTCAAGTTGAGATACTTCATAGAAATGTATGTGCCAGGGTGCGGGGCGCTGCGAATAGGGAAGTGATGGGATGACAACAAAGAGCAAAAGGTCAAATTACCAAAAAGAAAAAAAAAAATTAAGCCTCACTAGGGCAATACTAAAGGCCACACATCATCATCATCATCATCGTTATTATTATTTTAAAGGCACAAGTACTTCCCGTAGAGGTGAGACACTTGGGACTCTTAAAAAACCCTCCACCACCACCAAGAAAATAATTGCTAACGCAATCCATACTCCCTTTTCCTCTCCTCCAGCTTTCAGGCAAACCTTCTTTAAACGCTTGCAAGCATCAAGCAGTTTCTATATTACAGATTCGGCATCACCGTGCCATAACGCAGTTCACTTTTCAGGTTTTGTCCACATAAAGGGTTACCACGACGGCCAGAGCACGTACAAACCCCACACAAGTGCTGAGGCTCCACGCACCAAATATTTTTTAAAGAATTGGGAATACCTGCAGGCGTTTTGATCCGCCTCCCACTTTTTGCCCTGCTCCGCTCTGCATGGGATGACTTACGTTAAACTCCTCCCGGAAGAGTTTCCCTTCGTCTGCCGATCGCATCCGTATTTCCTCTTCGAGGTTTTCCACTGGGATGGGGAAATACTTCTTTGGGTCCGAGGGAGACCTCCGGAGCAGCGTCACCCGCTGCTGTTCTGTCCGTGCAAGGAAAGAACGTGTTAAAAGCACGTCCAGGGAGATGGATAACAAGGTCTTTCCAACTACAAATTAATTTTCATGCTGGAAGAGGCCAAAACATACTTCTCACGTGAGACTTCGAATCGGAGATAAAGCTGATTTAAATGAAATAAAAAAACAAACCACAGACTAAGAAGTTGCTTTGAGAACATAAATTCAAGTCCAACCACTACTGGCAAAATTCATGGTTTCTGTATTCACCCCAGATGAAAATGTGACCAAGTTTTATTTAGAAAAGGAGAAGGTTCCTTCTGCCGATGGAGAGCTGCTCTGCCACAGGGACAGCTTTCGGTCACCAAAGAGATTCTGCCAGATTATTTCACTTGCAAAAAGGAAATAAGAATTAAAAAAAACAACCCCAAAAATCTTGAACTTGGCAGCCAGCAGGAACTCTGCTGTTGCTTTTGCTCTCGTTGCACCAGATCACACCAGCATCAGCCCTGGCACGCGATGGCTCGGCAGCAGCTCGGTTTGGGACAGGGATCACTACCAGCACTTCTTCCCACCCAGACACCAGCTCACAGAGGGAAATAAAACCTCAGGACACCTTCACAGCCCCTCCAGAACACAACTGGTCACCTGGAAATGGAAACCAGCATCCCCATGGAGAAGTGGAGGGATTAAAACCCGCTCCTTGGCGAAGAGGAGTTGTATCTACAAGGCAAGGCACCCCCACCTTCCGATAAGGACGGGGACGATTTCCACTTGCCAACGACAACTCAGCGGTGGCCGCGTTAACCACACGTCGCCCCGGGGCACTACCCGCCGCGGGGATCTCCACACCGCGGGTACACCGACCCAAGAGGAAGCTGCCGGGTCTATTTAGAGGTTTTGACTTTCTCAATGACTGCCAGCGTGTTTGTTAACCCGCTCTTCAGGTCATAGGCAGCCGTGTGGAACCGCCACCAAGATGTAATTCTTTGTATCACGAAGTTTTGCTCTTTGTTACAGCAGCTATGATCATTTATAAGCGAGAAACCAACAGCTACTCCATGTTTGCTGGGTTCGAACTGAGCCCCACAGACAAACCCACCCAAAGGGCTCCTCGCTAACAGAAACGTTGGAAAAACCCAGGGGGAAACATTCTCAGCTCCTGAGAGTGTTTTATTTCAGTGCCACTGGCTCACGATACCACCCTGGCTGATCCCCTGGCTTGCTTCTCTTCACACTCAGGAGCCAGACCGTGGTTTCACAAGGAGTTAAGGGCTGGTTTTCTCCCCTTTTAAGAAGAAATAGTGCAAGCCTTTCTCGAAATACAAAGTTCACAGTGCCAGAAACCTGTCCCTCAGCTGGCATCCCAATAAAATATATATAAAAAGTTAAACATTTAAAAATAAATATTTGGTGTATCACAACTTCAAGGGAAAATTCTTTAAAACCAACAACTGAAAGTGAAGGTTATATAGACACATACTGAAATATGGACTTTTTTAAAAAAAAAACAAACCTATTTTCTCTTTAGCAATAATCTTATATTATAAATAAAAAGCAAACATAATTGAAAAACTGAATTTTTAATTAGCGACCAAGCGTGTGCGTCCACAAACAAAATTCACAGCGAGAAGGAAAGCAAACCTCTCCATACCTTGTTCTTCTAAGATCCCATTTGGCATCTTTTTATCCCCAGAGTTCACAACAGCTTTCCTGTGTCTTCTGAACCTGAAATACACACAGTGCATTAATCCGAGGAACTCTGCTAAAAGGTAACAAGCATTTTTTCCAAACCAATCTTTACCAACCATGTAATTCTGGAGAAACTCTTTCTGTTCATCTTCGCGGGGAGAGCCGCCACCGCCGCAGCACCCTCCTCTAGGCTGAGATGGAGGCTCCTGCCTCACCATAAGTACGTATTTCATTTCCTTGTTAGATCATATCGAAACAAGACCGAGCTAGTTCTGCATGCAGAGCTCCGTACAGACCTACCTGAAAAAATAGCCAGCCAACAGAATGAAAATGATGAAGACCAGGAGCAGAATCAGCATCGAAGTCAGTAGGTCCTTGTGTAAATTGTTCTCCTCTGTAGAGTCTGTGGATTGAACCCAGCAAACGTGAAACATTATAGACACAAGATTGCCTCATCCAGTACAGGCAGGAACTGTGCTTGGTGCATCAGAAATCTGTGGTTCTGTGCAGTAATCTGTTGTACTTACTAAAAGCATCGCAAATCACTTAATATATGCAAAACAGAAACTGAAAATTCATTTTTTTAAAATTTTTTTTTTTTTCCTTCTTCCTTCAAACTGCCTGCTGCTGAGAATATCAAGAATATTTTGGGGAATGACTGGTTAAACAAAGAATTGACTTGTAATTAGAATAAGTTTAATGGGTGCAAGGTCTTAAACTAAACTTGGAGCCCACTCCAAAGGTTTCCTGCAGTACCCACATAGACTCACAGAACGATTTGGGTTGGAAGGGATCTTAAAGATCATCTAGCTCCAGCCCCCATCAGCCAGGCAGAAACCACCCAAGAGCCATCCCTTGTACAGATTTTATTGACTCCAGAGCTGCAACGTGTGCTTTAAGCACATCTCATTTAACAGTCCACAACCCCGCTGCTGGCTGCGCTAGGCTGTAAAGCACGTCCTCTATGGCTCATACTATAT